TTAACCTTAAGCTCTTCTAATCTGTTGATTTCTACGTACTTTCGTTTTTTGGCCACTCTCTTCCCACCGGCTGCATACTGGATCATGGTCAGGGCGTTGAAATCTTCATCATGTTTTAGTAGTTTAATGAGTTTAAAGATGTTTGGATATGGGTGCTGGACATGTCCCAAAGGTGACTGTTCTGTTCGACCCAGTATTTAGTTACATAATCTGTAAACGGCGTGTAGTTGATGTTAGTATCAATCTGACCTATGTCGGTTAGGGCATTAAACCACACATCTTCGACTTCAGCAGTGGGTACTAGTGGAAGGACAGAGGCACAGCGTACTAGTTGATGAATGTCGTTGTCTTCCTTGTATGGAACCTGAATCCCTGTTTCTTGTGCTTTTCTCCAGATACATTGTGTGTTGTAGAAAAAAACAGCCTTTTGAGTTGATTCCAGGAAATACAGAATATGCTGCATTTCGACTTCATAGTGCAGGAAGATAGTGGTAGGCTGAATTTGTAGTTGGTGTTGGTGGCATACATCTTTAGTAAAGTCATGAACCTTGTGTATACTAGTTTGCTCTTGGCTGAACGTAAACTGTGTACCAGTGGATGCATTGCGCTGTCAACCATTGCGTGAAATGTGTAAAGTTGGAAGAATAGGCTCGGACAGGAGTAAAATGTACCATAACCATATATGATATCTGCAGCTGCTAAGTGTGTTAGATTCTTTTGAGTACTGAAGATTACCAAACGCCAAACTGTGTTGTCGTCTGTTAGCAGGAATGGGTCACCTTTGGAAGTACGTGCCCAAATACCATCTATGTTGATTTCATCAACAGTTTTTGGTAAAACTGGTAGGTTCTGCTAGCGTTTGTTGTAAATGGAAATCTTGCAAGATGGGAAAGTTTGTTATAATATTATCTATCATCAATTTATTTGTTCGGATGACAATATTCTAAGTTTGCAAAATCAATGATTTTTTTTAATCTTACTCTATTTATCTGACTTATTTTTTATTTTTAAGTAATTCTTTGAAGAAGAAAAAACATATTACAAATAAACTGTGTATTAAATTTTGTTGTTGATAATATTATACTTAAACAGTGTAAGAAATATGTTTTCTTTTAAAAAATACAGGTAAATCTTAGGTGAATTTTTAATTAAACTTGATTGTTATAAAAACAAATTATTTATCAAAACATCTATTGTTATTTGCATGTGGGAATAGAAGGAATAGTGATTTTTAAAAAATGGGAATAGGAGGAAGACACCATATTCACACCTTCGAGTGACATAACAAAATTAGCCTCTCATTGTAATAATCAAACTTTGATATTAGCTCACTTTAAGTGTTAACATGTTAAGGAAAAGGGATGTAAATCATTTAATGGTCATTTCAACAGATGGAATGAAAGAGCAATGAGATAGTGTTGTGATAACATAAAAGGATAAATTATTCAAAAATGGACATTTCTCCTGCTTCAGGTACAATTTAATCATGTTAATCTTATGTATCTAAAATTCCTTCATTTTATAAGCACAAAATGTTACATAAATCAGCTTTTCTAAAATTGTATAATTTTTAAATAAGGACAAAACTTCATCAATAGATTTTGATTTCCAATCAATTCTACATCAGGTGCATGCTTTTTTTATTGGCGAGAGTGTTTTTTTTTCATAAACTTCCTTTTATTTTTCTTAAAACATTGAGTTTTAGGTCTGGTATAAAAATTATATTAAATATTACATGTATTTTACCTACGCCGTTGCCCCCTTTTCATTTTTTTTTTCGGGGGGGGGGGGGGGGATTAAAATGTTGAAATCTAAACTTACAATGCTTTTGTAGTTCTATTCTCCTGATTTCATATATAATACCGGGTAATTAGACAAACAACAGTACTCATGATTTTATCTTTTGCTCTTTTTCCTTGGACATTGCCTCGGGGTTGTATACTTCGTTAGTGCAAATTTTAAGAGTTCACTTTCATAATTAATCTACAATGAAAAGTCATTCATGTGTAGCATTTTATAGTCCATGGAAAGCCATGTACTATGAGAAATAGATGGGAAAATACTGATTTTCCATTGGACGAGAATGGGTAAGTATGATCTTAAAAAAATGTAAATTATTGTTGATGACCATTTCAACATAGCAATAAAATAGCGTTAAGATAGTTTTTGAGATATAAATATTAAAAAATGTTCGAAATTTACAAAGAACCACTTCTCTTTTATTTGATTTTTTTAGCGATGTAATTCACTATGATGATGAATCAACATTGAGAGTATTCATTAATCGTACACTATTTATCTTTTTACTTTTCGTATTAGAGCGTCGGTGCTGAGTCTTGTGCATACGAAACGCGCGTCTGACGTTTAAAGTTATAAATCTGAAACCTATGATGAGTTTTTTACATTCGCTTGGTCGATACAATTGCTGCCGGGGTTTTTCTATCCGATGGTATTACCAGCCCAGTAGTCACATTTTCTGTATTGACATGAATTTTTATTGATATGATCAAATTTATAAAATAGCTGTTTACCAAATTTAAATTTTCCAGGAATAGATTACCTAAGCTGAATTTGGCAAAAACTCAATACTCTTCAACTTCTTGCCTTACATTTGGCATTTTTAACTGATGAGTCCATTGTAGACGAAACGCGCGTCTGGCACACACAATTGTAAGCCTGGTATCTTTAATGAGTTGTTTCATGCATTACAGAATAAAGTCCAAAGAAGATAATTCTTAATGAAAAGTCAGATGAACAATGCTACTTTCCATTGGACGAGATGGTTGGTATATGTTTTTATAGTATATTTATCATGTATCATATCTTTATTATTTGTACATATTTATATTATATAATAAATGATCAATAAAACAGTTTTATTTAGCTGGGATATGTAGTTATCTCTATCCTAATTCCTAAAAAGAATAGTCACATTAAGCACCATTCCAAAAACATTTACATTAACATATATAATGAACTTCACAAAACAAGTCGATAACACTTGAAGGGAAAGCCGTTCCCGTTTCACAGATGACACGTATATCACTCATGTAAATGCAATAAACACTTCATGAATCTCGTGCGTCCGAAGCACTTAGTAATACAGCGATTAATCAGTCATGATGCTGCTTCATATAATAGCGAATTATTGTCTAGTATGACACCAAGGTTACAGTTTTACTCACTAGGGATATCGTCGTAAAATCTGTTGTCGAGAAAAAATATCTACGACAAAAGACACAACAAATAAAAAATGTCGGTAGTCATTCTGGACATAGATATCCCATAACTTGATTTAAAAGAAATGACTTGTACTTCACAATTCGAAAACACATCCTCTGGCTATGATATGTACTTTTCGAATAAAAACAGGCTTATAAGTTGGTACATCAGACTAGCGTTTTCTCTACATAAGACTCAACAGTGGCGCTCGAATCAAAACAGTTGAATACAAAATAAAACGACTTTTGGGATATACGTCAATGAGAAATCAACTCAACAACAAAAATAACCAAAAGACATGGTAAGTCCTCCAAAAGAGACAGGTGTCAATGCAGTATGTAACGCTATATATTGTCCCCAGTTTACAAAAGTTAGTATGTTGACAAGTAGAAATGCAAAGTTCACAATTGAAAAATAAATTCGTTTACTTTATTGTTAATTTTGTTTCTCAGCTGGCTCTTGGTATCGAGTTCTAATTGAAATGCGTTATTTAAGATTCAATGTAATCAACATGACACAAAATTTTGAATTATTAAATGAAATATAATCCGTCAGAGTTTATTTTATAGCTATCAGTGGATATAATATAAATAAGAAGATGTGGTATGAGTGCTAATGAGACAACTCTCTATCCAAGTCACAATTTATAAAAAGTTAACAATTATAGGAAAAAGTACGGCTTTCAACACGGAGCCTTGGCTCACACCAAAAAATTTATTTACACCAACCTGTCCAGTAATGATGCAATCTCTTGTTATTGCATCCATTGTTTACGATTTCGTCATTGATTAAAAAATTCATGGTGATTTAGTAAAGTTAACTCTTATTATATGGAAATGATAGCTTATGATTTTGCATTATTGCAAGCTTTAAAATAAACAACAAATGATATTTGTATCTTTGAACAGTGCTTCTGCAGAATACATCCTGCATCCAACCTCAAAAGTTTCATTTTTCACCGCCCTCACTTTTTCACCTCTTTATTAACTATATCTATTGTAATAATTTATCAAATGGGTTTACATATAATCATGGTAGTATTTATTAGTTTTATATGTGCATGATCAATTTGATATGATAATATTATCATATTGTATACAGTAGATGGCTTAATGAGTAGGCAAAACATGTGTCTCATCCTATTTGAATCATTGATCAAATACAATAATCTTAAAATAAAACGCGCTTGGTGTGACTGCATATGATCATCATAATTTTTTTTTCTTTGCTTCTTAATTCAAATTAGAAATTGGTGCAACTTTTGCTTTCTAATAGAAAAGAAAAAGGATATGGGGTATCCATCCATGACATAAAATCAGTACATGCATAGCAAAAAACACACAAAGAGCAAAGGAACGGCTATTTTATTGCTGTTTTTCATCTCAACGTCATTACGGTGATCATGTGCAGTCACACGGAGCAACAAAAAATAATTATCGATATAATTTTAATAAGATGATATGGTTGTCAACACAGCAATATTGGGATTTTAAAAATGTGTCATGGAAATCATAAGAAATACACCACGACATAAAAATTAGTAGGGAAACTTGTTATCTTGGTGTAGTCAGGGGTGTTTCGGAATTATACACCTGTTTTGATAATTCCGTACATTCCTGATTAAACCAAGATACCTAATATCATCATGAGCAATACCAGTATCGTATAACAAGCATGAAAAGTCCGGAAACAATTTAAAAGAGAAAACTAATGGCCTGATTTATGGAAAAAAAAATTTTTTTTATTAATTATGTATCTTATTGAACTGTATCACTAACCTTATCTTGTTTTTAATTTTTATCCATCTCTCCTTGAATTTACACTATGGTGACATTTGATTTTTTATATTTATATCAATTACTTGTTTTTATAACTGGTAATACTCGGAAAGACACTAATTTGTACTGGATCAAAATGCAAAACTAATTGTAGCCTTGAAATAGTAAATTCATGCACGTGATTAGTAATATACAGTCCACATGACCAGGACAGAACTTTGAGTCTGTTGTTACGATTATCCCTTCTTCGACTTACGTGGTTACAGGGTAGGGCTATTACTATAAATAGAACATAGGGGATAACATTTTTAAACTTATAGACCTATCGTTGACTAAATCAAGTCAACAAGATTTTTAAGATGGTCTTTTTTAAAGATTGTTTCTACTCATCAACCCCTGGAAACATGGTTTCTTAAAAGAAATTGAGGAATTTTAAGATTTGTCGGAATTAAACATTTGGACCTTGTCGATTAACCACTTTCAAGAAGTGATACAGTTCCAATGAACTTTTTTATACAATATCTCCAATATCTTCTTTCATTTCTATAACAACAACATTGCCGTTTACAACCTACATTTGACATTGCTTAAATGTCTACAGTAAAATGCAGAAGAGATCTGATAAGTAATTTATAAACTCATAAACACTTTTGTAATCTATATATATAAAGTCATATCACCTTAACTTGCTTTATGGGGTTATAAATATTTCTGTTTAAAGATATGTATATTTCTTTTTTTAGATACGCATAAGAAGAATGTTATCAACAACGAGAGATTACGAGGACGGACTACTAATGATTGTAATATTTGCAGTACACGGTCAAGGTAATAATCTAATCGCGGGGCCTTCGGTGTGTTATGTAATACTAAAGGTAAATGACCTAAGTTTTAACAAATACTGTTCACATTATAGCGTACATTGTACTGTTTCATTTGTTAATCTTTTTCTAGTTATATTTGCACTGTTTATATTTCGACATATGTATTTCTGTATAGACAATTGCAAAGTGCGGTCCTATTATACCAAGCAAAAGGCATTCAGTATAATAATAAGAACATTATTGAAGTCATCTGGACAAATTTTATACGAAATCTCACTTAGGACTAATAAAAAACATTATCTTCATTTTGTTATAACGAAATAAATCTGTGATCAACTAATTTTGAAATAGATTATAGCTAACTTTTAAAATTTGTAATAACTCATTCACAAGATCTATGATAACGAATTATCTTAATCTGTAAAAACGATTAAAATGGTTACTAATAACTAAATTAAGAATTTGTGATTCAGAATTGTATAAATTCGCATAAATGAGTTCCAAGTATCAGTAATAATGAATTCTTTCTTATTTTTCAAATTGATTGCGAAATTCGTAATGACACATTAAGAATGGAAATACTTAAGCGTATAAAAACCTCGTGTAGAAAATTAGAAAATAAAGATTGACGACAAATTGTAATATCAAGCATTGCAATCATCAAAAGATTAAAAAAAAAGATGAGAGAAATAATCAAAAATATTGGATAGTACAGAAGACTACACCAAGCAATAACACCCGACTACGCGGAATAGACAAAACTAATCTTGTTAATATGTGAAATTAATTGAGGAAAATTTACTATTTTTGATTTGGAAATTCGTTTATATAACGTAATAAAATTGATTATTTCAAATAGCAAATTTTGATTTATCAGACGAAAATCGTTATTATTACGAATTTAAAGATTATTCACAACAAAATTAATTTGTTTTTACTACATGATTTTTAAAATATATGCACGAACATATTGCAACATATTTGCATCTATTCACAAATATTACTTTTGCTATGGTTTTATGGTTATTTGTTGTTCCTTTGTGTGCCAGTGCATTTTAAACCTGGAATTAAAAAGATTTCCATATCTATAGAGATCAACGATCAATTACAAACTATTGGTGACGCGGTTTTCCCTGAAACACGTGCACACGTTAATCATATCGTGCAACTGAAATCAAAGTGGTCACAAAATATGATTTGGCATATCACGGATGCTTTAAATTGCAAACGTGTGTCAATCTATATTTGTATTTTCATATGTGGGCTCTCATTTAGGTCACATTTGTGTTGATGTGTGTGGTACATGTATTAGAATTCCATAGATTCCATTTAGAATTGATTTATAGAAACAATCATTACCAAAATATTTAGGGTGTCCTCTTAACTCATCAGTGTAAATTCATTTTGAAAATCTATACCCAAAGAAAAAATTGTTATGCTAAATACAAGAGGCGTACACTAACGTAGCAAATATAGCAAATAATTGTAAACAAAGACGATGATTTATACTTTAACAATTTTTTTTTGTTTGGAATTTTTAATGCAAACTTCCTTTCCATATGATAACGTTTTTTGAAAGATGTTTTTATATATATATGAATTAAGGGAAAACTGTGTTTTATATAGGAATAGGTCTACTACACAGGTAAAATTTGCTCACATGAATTTCACATGAAATTCACGTGAAAAATCTTACGTTAGATTGACCTCAAACGATCTAATACATGAAACTCACATGAATACTTTCATGTGAATTTAACGTGAATTGAGATAAACATGAATCTCACATGAAATTTTTCACATGAATTTCACGTGAACATTTCAAAAAAAACAATTGGTATTTTTCAAGATTTTGATATTTGAATAACTTTAATTTTAAAAGTTCATGTGAATTTCACGTGAAAAAAATTCATGTGATTTTCATGTGAAATTCACGAGAGTTTGACATGAGATTCACGTGAAACTCACATGAACTAATTTCACGTGAGTTTCACGTACAAGCTCGTTAAAGGTGAAATTCATGTGAATTGCACGTAAAATTCATGTGAGTGAAATTTGCCTGTGTATTCCCGATATTTAAATTGAATGAATATTTTATTTCACCTTTTCAAATTAGTTGATGACTAGGCACTGCAAAAAATAGATGTCAAGAAACGGTGATGACCATTTTATAGCGTTTTAGTTAAGTTGTCCTTCGACATTCACTAAGTATTAACTCCGAAAAACAAGCACGAACGGGAAATTTGTTTTGCCATGTTTTATGCCCTGAATTAAAAAAAAAACAGAACCGCCTTTTGGAACTGAAAAAATATGCATCCAGCCTTACCAAAAATTAGATAACAAAAAGATGGACCAAATATCATATTAAAGTGGATCATTTCAGCTCGGCGAATCATTGTGGATTTACGTTCAAACGTGTTATTAGCTGTGTAGTAAGAATAACAGAAATAAAAAAAAAATGTTGTCAATCTTGTTAGTAACTGGAGTTATATTGTTGAAGCTTAAATAAAAAAAAAAATAAAGTGTTAAAGTTTATAAAAATAAGGAGATGTGGTATGATTGCCAATTAGACAACTATCCACCAAAGTTCAAATAAAGTTAATGTAAGCAATTATAGGCAAACGGTTTCACAACCATGAGAAAAACTCATACCGTTTAGACGGCTATAAAAGGCCCCGCCATGAAAAATATGAAACAATTCAACTGAGAAAACTAAAGGCTTAATTCATAACAAACCAACTTGCGAAAAACAAATATGACAGAAGTGAACCAACGACAACAAATTAACTACATGCTCTTAACTTGCGACAATAGATATAAGAAGATGTGGTATGAGTGCCAATGAGACAACTCTCCATCCAAGTCAAAATTTATAAAAGTAAACCATTATAGGTCACAGTACGGTCTTCAACACGGAGCCTTGGCTCACACCGAACAGTAAGCTATAAAGGGCCCCAAAAAATTACAAGTGTAAAACCATTCAAACGGGAAAACTAACGGTCTAATCTATATAAAAAACGAGAAACGAGAAACACTTGTGAACCACATCAACAAACGACAACTACCGAACATCAGATTTCTGACTTAGGACAGGTGCAAACAAATGCAGCGGGTTTAAACGTTTTAATGGTACCAAACCTTCACCCTTTTTCTGAAACAATAGTGTAACATCACAACATAGACAGACACACTATAAAATATCAACTGAAATAGCTTAACTCAATCAAAGGATATATTAACACATATAGAATGTGGTGGGGTTAACTTGCAACATGAAACAATAATACTGATAAGAACTAAAATCTAGACTACCATAAATTGTTTTGCGAGTATCTCCTGAAATTATTGTAATCACAAATTCCTAGTCATCAGCTCATTTGAAAATGTGACATCAATTATTCTTTTATTATAATACCAACGTGAATAATAGACTGTTGTTTGTCTTTTGGTCTTTCTTTTCCTTTTTTGCCATGGTAATGCTATTTCGTTTTCGATTTTTGAGTTTGATTATCCCTTTGGTATCTTTCGCCTCTTTTTAATCTTGTTATGGTCATTATTTTTAATGAGTAATGACAGTTAAAACATTTGCCCTCTGAACCCCCTGGACTTATTTTAGGTACATCGTAGAATTTCGAATTTTCTGTTAAAATATTAAAAGAACTCTTTTAATATTGCTCTGTGTAATATGACAGTTGTTGTCCATTCGTTTGATGTGTTTTGTCATTTGATTTTGCCATGTGATTAGGGACTTTCCGATTGAAATTTCCTCGGAGTTCAGTATTTTTGTGATTTTACTTTTTACACACTCAACAACTCTTCAGTATCCATTTGTTTCTATTATCGTCATCACAAAAACAAAAACATCTTCAAAGTCACCAGGCTTATAATTTGGTTTAAATAAAGGTCAGCAGTGCCCCTCGAAACAAAGCCAAACCAAGCACGAAGTTAAAGAGCACTTCAAACAAAAATGTCGACGGATTGTGCCAAATAAGTTTAAGACTATCTATTCCTGAAGGTAGAAACACTTTAATATTTGAATTGTTTAAAATATTTTAAAAATGAGCAGTGAAAACATCTAATGGCAATACCAGTTTTAACACAGAGCAATGACAATCATCGTATAGTAAAACCATATAGAATCGATCACAAGAAGAGAAAAATCACTAGATTATAAGTGGCTTGATCTGAGCAGGAAAATGGATATATTTAATACACAGTGGCTTGGTGATTTCCAACATATCATTTCAAAATACTACAACATTAACTTAAATGAGTTTTTGTTTTATCAAACATTTATCAGTTGGTTG